CACTATCGAGAAGGCAGGCATCATCGGCAAACAATTTTGTCAGGAAATTAGAGCTGTTCGATAAATCGTTTATAAAAAGTAAGAAACCAAGAGGTCCTAATACACTACCCTGTGGAATTCCATACTGGATGGGCAACATTGGAGATTTATGAGAATTGACCTCTACATATTGGTACCGACAAGACAGGTAATCAGTTAATAAGTTGCCTGAAACACCTCGAAAGCCATAATGTCTTAGTTTATGAGAAAGAATATGATGATCGACAGTATCAAAGGCTTTTTTTAAATCTAGAAAAGTACAACAAACAAATTCCCCCTTGTCAAGTTTGTCATAAATGGACGAAATTAAATCTAGAATAGCATGGTTGGTAGAGTGTTTGGTCTGAAATCCAAATTGGCACTTGTCGATCAAGTTAAATTTTGAACAAAAATTAATCATTCTCTTATACAATAATTTTTCTAGAATAATGCCGATTGCTGGTAGAATGGAAATTGGTCGGTAATTAGATGGATCATTTCTTTTGCCATTTTTAAATATAGGGATCACTCTAGCTATCTTAAGTGAGGAGGGAAAAATACCTAATCTAAATGAAGAGTTGAAAAAATGGCTTAGCGCTGGGGATATGATGTCTGCGACTATTTTTAAGAAGTGAGATGGAATACCATCAGGACCAACTGCTTTACCCTTTTTCAGATTCGAGATTATTTGAAGAATCTCTGTGGTTGACGTCGACTCAAGATAGAAAGAGTTTCCTAGGGGAACACCCAAGAAATCTGTGATTGTATTAGAGCTCTGAGAGATTTTTCTTGCAAGTCTCTCACCAACTGTTGAGAAGAATTTATTGAATTCACTGGCCACCAAGACAGGATCTGACACTGAGGTACCATTTTCAAGTTTTAATTCTAAGATGGAAATATCATCTCTGGACTTGATCTTAATAATGTCGTTAATAGTTTTCCATGTGCGTTTAACATCTCCTCGGTTATTCTCAAGGACGTTTTGGTAATATAATTGTTTTGATTTTCTCTGCAAGTGAGTAAGGATATTTTTATACTTTTTAAAATGGGAGCGCTGGTTTAAATTGCCCTGCAAGTACATTTTTTTGAACATATTGTTCTTGTGCCGAATTGACCTACGAATTCCTCTAGTGATCCACGGCTTGGAAAATAATTTATTTTCTTTACGTGATAAAGGACGTAAGGGGGCGTGTTTATTTATTAACCATTTTAAATGGCCAATGAAGGAGTCAAGAGAGAGATTGAAATTTTCTTTAGTTAGAGAAACACCCATATAATTATCACACATCGACTCAATTTCCGATCTGAAAGAGTCGCTACAAAAGTTTTTCATATCGCGCCTCATTCTGATTTTTGTTTTGGGGCCAACATTCATGCCCGAAATAGTACACATTACTGGAAAGTGGTCAGTTAGATCGCTAAGCAAAATAAAGGTAGAGGAGAGAAGATTTATGGTATTTGTGTAAATATGATCTATGAGGGTGTGGGAGGATGGAGTGACTCTAGTTGGTTTTGTTATTACTGGCATTACAAAGTGGGATATTAGCATGTTGAAATAGTTGGTAGTGGAATTGTCGCAGGTGTCAAGTAAGTTGATATTGAAGTCACCTAACAGTACAAATTTCTTTTTCGCCACTGCCAGCTTCTCAAATACACCAGCCATTGCTTTAGTGAATGATGGAGTACTACATTTGGGATGTTTGTAAATCACACCGATTACAAGGCTCTGGTTGTTGGAATTTAGCCTTGTCTCAATCCACAAATCCTCACAATTTGGCAAAGTTAGATCAAATTCTTGGATCACTTGATATTCTAAATTGTTTCTTATATAAAATCCAACGCCACCTGCCATGGTTGGAGTGGGGACATGAAAAAATGCGTAACCAGGGATGTCTATATTGGTAACCGAAGACCCATCTTTTAATCTGGTTTCACTGAGAGCGATTATATGCGGAAGGACATAAAAATAAGATGCCAATTCAATAAGGCTATCAACATATTTTGACAGAGATCTGATATTAAGATGCATTAAAATTAGCTCTGATGGTAGGAACTTAGATGAAGTCTCATTTATCTCACTTATTTGGAGATATTGACACTGTGTTAAGCTAAAATGACTGTTAAGATTGGCAGATTCCCAGTTTATATTTGGGGGGTAGGAGGTTAAATTATTTACAGGCAACATTGATAATTGGACTTGGGATAATAAAAGTGCATATAAGCAATCGATTATGGGTCAGTAAATAAAACTTCAATGTAGAAGGGCCACAAGCAGTTACTCCACATATAAAATGACAAGCAGTTACGGATATTAGACTTTGAGTGAGGTCTGAGACAAGTGAAAAATGGCTTGAATTAGCCATAAATAGACAAATGGTTGAGACAATGAAGGCACTTATCTGATTTTTTTTAAGTCTTCTTCGTCAGATATTGATAGGGGACTGGTGTCCTTGTTTTTTTTCACTAGCACTCTTCCATTAGAAGTCCAAAGAAAAGCGTATCCGCATTGCTTTTTGAGGATTTTAGCTTGATAGAAAAGATTTTTGTTTTTTTCAGTCAGGTTTTCCACAATAAAAGCTTTTGATAAGTTTTTTGTTAATGGTCTATTGGCAGCAGTTCTGATAAGGTGCCGATTTTTCAGAATTTTGCTCCGTATTTTTCTGTTAGTAAACTTGACTATAATAGGTTTGTGAATATTAGTATTGTGAGTTGGACTACGGTGAGTGACAGAGATGTCTGAGGGTTTGATATCGACATGGATGGATTTGCCAATCTCCATTATTATTTTGTCTGTGTCTTCATTCACTGTAGGAGGAAGACCGTGAAACTCAAGGTTGTCGAGTCTGGATCGCCTTTCTTGTTCCTCGAGTTTTTCGGTGACAAAATAAAGATCTTCTTCGAGATCATATACTAATTCTTCAAGTTCGCGTATTCTTTTACTGCATGTTGTTAATTTAACATCCATTGATTTTTGTTTTGCAGAGAGATCATCATACATATCTGAATGAAAACTCTGAGATTCCTTAATTGATGTCATGTCATGTTTCAACTCGTTTATGGACAGCGTTTGCTCTTCCATACACTCTTTAAGCCCAGGGCTCAATGGTATGTAATCCGAAGTAAGGTTTGCCGGGTTAAATTTATCTTCGAGACACTTGGCAATTAAAGCTGGAAGCTGGATCTCGATTTGTCTCTGAATTACTTCTTGCAGGTTCAGTTGAAAATTAGAAGATCCCTCAATCGGATGGTGAATGGGACCGATAGGAAAGAGGCCAGGATCTGGAAGGCTTCTGCTCATCCGTGGTTTCGGCTTTGGTGTTATTGAAAGTATTGTTCGTTTCGATGTTCGACATGTTGCTGTGATTTAACCAAGATGTTGAGCTGACAGCAATGTTTGTTAAGTTAGACTATTGCTATTTATTGGTAGATTTTAAACCTTAATCAAATAGAGAATAATTAGATCATTAGAGTTCTCATGTACTCATCATACTAACTCAAGAAATGGTCAAGAAACTTACAGAATGCGAAACAGCCAACGGCAAAAGAACATAATTTCAAACGTGTTTATTTTCTTATTCCAGATATATTATATTCCTAAATGCAGTGTTAATATTTTAAAATTGCTTTATCTGTACTTCAACTCCCAAGAACATTAGTAGCCTAACACGACCGTTCGTTAATTTTCTTAGTCACCACAAGTAATGAATTTCATTGGTACTTTAATAAGTAAAGTTTTCTCTCGTTCATTAGCTTTGCGCAGTGGCAGTATCGTAACCAATGAGGTTTATCCGAGGTGCGATTATTGCTAGTTGAAAACTATTACCAATACCCCGCCCTGGTGATGCGATCGCATCGCCTGTGGCAATTTCTGAAGGGTTCTGTGGAACCTATCCTATTGCGAAATGAGATGACAAAACAATAAATTAGATGATGTCCATGGTTTGGAAAATTTGTGTAGGCTTTCAAATATATGTTTGGTGAGTTCCGTCATTTAATTCCGTCGCAACTTTAAAAGGGCATACTCGTCAGATTATTGGCTCCCCGTGTTGCCATCTTGAGGCGGTGTTTCATTAGAGTTCTCATGTACTCATCATACTAACTCAGGAAAGTCCCAAGAAACATACAGAATGCGAAACAGCCAGCGGCAAAAAATCATAATTCCAAACGTGTTTGTTTATTTTCTCATTCCAGATATATTATATTCTTAAACGCAGTGTTATTATTTCAAAAATTGCTTTATCTGTTCTTCCACTTCCAGGAACATTAGTAACCTATCAAGACACTTACGTTAATTTGCTTAGTCACCACAAGTAATAGATTTCATTGGTACTTTAATAAGTAAAGTTTTCTCTCATTCATTAGCTTTGCGCAGTGGCAGTATCGTAACCAATGAGGTTTATCCGAGGTGCGATTATTGCTAGTTGAAAACTATTACCAATACCCCGCCCTGGTGATGCAATCGCATCGCCTGTGGCAATTTCTGAAGGGTTCTGTGGAACCTATCCTATTGCGAAATGAGATGACAAAACAATAAATTAGATGATGTCCATGGTTTGGAAAATTTGTGTAGGCTTTCAAATATATGTTTGGTCAGTTCCGACATTTAATCCTGTCGCAACTTTCAACAGTGCATACACGTCAGATTATTGGCTCCCCGTGTTGCCACCTTGCGGCGGTGTTTCATTAGAGTTCTCTTGAACATTTTAACTCAAGAAATTTATAGCACGATCCAAAATTTCAGGAAACTTGAGGAATGCGAAACAGCCAGCAGCAAGAGAACATAATTCCAAACGTGTTTATTTTTTTATTCCAGATATATTATACTCTTAAATGCAGTGTTGATATTTTAAAAATTGCTGTATCTGTACTTCAACTCCCAAGAACATTAGTAACCTAACAAGACAGCTACGTTAATTTTCTTAGTCACCACAAGTAATAGATTTCATTGGTACTTTATTAAGTAAAGTTTTCTCTCATTCATTAGCTTTGCGCAGTGGCTGTATCGTAACCAATGAGGGTTATCCGAGGTGTGATTATTGCTAGTTGAAAACTATTACCAATACCCCGCCCTGGGGATGCAAACGCATCGCCTGAGGCAATTTCTGAAGGGTTCTGTTGAACCTATCCTATTGCGAAATGAAATGACAAAACAATAAATTAGATGATGTCTATTGTTTTGAAAAATATGTTGTCCATGTCCATGGTTTGGAAAATTTGTGTAGGCTTTCAAATATATGTTTGGTGAGTTCCGACATTTAATTCCGTCGCAACTTTAAACAGTGCATACACGTCAGATTATTGGCTCCCCGTGTTGCTATCTTGCGGCGGTGTTTCATTAGAATTCTCATGTACTCGTCATACTAACTCAGGAAAGTCCCAAGAAACTTACAGAATGCGAAACAGCCAGCGGCAAAAAATCATAATTCCCAACGTGTTTGTTCATTTTCTTTATCCAGATATATTATATTCTTAAACGCAGTGTTATTATTTCAAAAATTGCTTTATCTATTCTTCCACTCCCAGGAACATTAGTAACCTATCAAAACACTTACGTTAATTTTCTTAGTCACCACAAGTAATAGATTTCAATGGTACATCAATAGGTAAAGTTTAGTCTTATTCGTGAGCTTTGTTCAGTGGCAGTATCGTAACCAATGAGGTTTATCCGAGGTGCGATTGTTGCTAGTTGAAAACTATTACCAATACCCCGACCTGGTGATGCAATCGCATCGCCTGTGGCAATTTCTGAAAGTTTCTGCGCAACCTATACTTTTGCAAATTACGTTAATGTCTATTGTTTTGAAAATTATGTTTAATTTTCCAAGTCTATGTCAAACAAATTGCGACAACTTTACAAATTACTGCTGGCAATGCACTCCGCAGTAAGTTATCCCTCCAACAAAATTATGACCGATTCACTGGCTGCCTTTATTGCCACCTTGCGGCGTTGTTTCATTAGAGTTCTCATGTACTCATCATACTAACTCAAGAAAGGGTCAAGAAACTTACAGAATGCGAAACAGCCAACGGCAAAAGAACATAATTCCAAACGTGTTTATTTTCTTATTCCAGATATATTATATTCTTAAATGCAGTGTTAATATTTTAAAATTGCTTTATCTGTACTTCAACTCCCAAGAACATTAGTAGCCTAACACGACAGTTCGTTAATTTTCTTAGTCACCACAAGTAATGAATTTCATTGGTACTTTAATAAGTAAAGTTTTCTCTCGTTCATTAGCTTTGCGCAGTGGCAGTATCGTAACCAATGAGGTTTATCCGAGGTGCGATTATTGCTAGTTGAAAACTATTACCAATACCCCGCCCTGCTGATGCAATCGCATCGCCTGTGGCAATTTCTGAAGGGTTCTGTGGAACCTATCCTATTGCGAAATGAAATGACAAAACAATAAATTAGATGATGTCCATGGTTTGGAAAATTTGTGTAGGCTTTCAAATATATGTTTGGTCAGTTCCGACATTTAATCCTGTCGCAACTTTCAACAGTGCAAACACGTCAGGTTATTGGCTCCCCGTGTTGCGACCTTGCGGCGGTGTTTCATTAGAGTTATCTTGAACATTTTAACTCAAGAAATTTATAGCACGATCCGAAATTTCAGGAAACTTGAGGAATGCGAAACAGCCAGCGGCAAAATAACATAATTCCAAACGTGTTTATTTTCTTTTTCCAGATATATTATATTCTTAAACGCAGTGTTTTTATTTCAAAAATTGCTTTATATGTTCTTCCACAGTAAAGTTTTCTCTCGTTCATTAGCTTTGCGCAGTGGCAGTATCGTAACCAATGAGGTTTATCCGAGGTGTGATTGTTGCTAGTTGAAAACTATTACCAATACCCCGCCCTGGTGATGTAATCGCATCACCTGCGGCAATTTCTGAAGGGTTTTGTGGAACCTATACTTTCGCGAGATGAAGTCACAAAACAATAAATAAAATGATGTCCACGGTTTGGAAAATTTGTGTAGGCTTCAAAATATACGTTTGGTCAGTTCCGACAACTCATCCTGTCGCAACTTTCAACAGTGCATACACGTCAGATTATTGGCTTTTCGTTTTGCCACATTGCGGCGGTGTTTCGTTAGAGTTCTCTTGTACATATTAATTCAAGAAATTTATAGAACGATCCAAAATTACAAGGAACTTACAGAATGCGAAACAGCCAACAGCAAGAGAACATAATTCCAAACGTTTTTTTTTTTTTTATTCCAGATATATTATATTCTTAATTGCAGTGTTGATGTTTTACAAATTGCTGTATCTGTACTTCAACTCCCTAGAACATTAGTAACCTAACAAGACAGTTACGTTAATATTCTTAGTCACCACAAGTAATAGATTTCATTGGTACTTTAATAAGTAAAGTTTTCTCTCATTCATTAGCTTTGCGCAGTGGCAGTATCGTAACCAATGAGGATTATCCGAGGTGCGATTATTGCTAGTTGAAAACTATTACCAATACCCCGCCCTGATGATGCGAACGCATCGCCTGTGGCAATTTCTGAAGGGTTCTGTGGAACCTATCCTATTGCGAAATGAAATGACAAAACAATAAATTAGATGATGTCCATGGTTTGGAAAATTTGTGTAGGCTTTCCAATATATGTTTGGTGAGTTCCGTCATTTAATTCCGTCGCAACTTTAAACAGGGCATACTCGTCAGATTATTGGCTCCCCGTGTTGCCATCTTGCGACGGTGTTTAATTAGAATTCTCATGTACTCATCATACTAACTCCTAACTCAGGAAAGTCCTAAGAAACATACAGAATGCGAAACAGCCAGCAGCAAAAAATCATAATTCCAAACGTGTTTGTTTATTTTCTCATTCCAGATATATTATATTCTTAAACGCAGTGTTATTATTTCAAAAATTGCTTTATCTGTTCTTCCACTTCCAGGAACATTAGTAACCTATCAAGACACTTATGTTAATTTGCTTAGTCACCACAAGTAATAGCTTTCAATGGTACATCAATAGGTGAAGTTTAGTCTCATTCGTTAGCTTTGTTCAGTGGCAGTATCGTAACCAATGAGGTTTATCCGAGGTGCGATTATTGCTAGTTGAAAACTATTACCAATACCCCGCTCTGGTGATGTAATCGCATCGTTTGTGGCAATTTCTGAAAGTTTCTGCGGAACCTGTACTTTTGCAAATTACGTTGATGTCTATTGTTTTGAAAAATATGTTTAATTTTCTGAGTCTATGTCAAACAAATTGCGGCAACTTTACGAATTACTGCTGGCGATGCACTCCGCAGTAAGTTATCCCTCCAACAAAATTATGACCGATTCACTGGCTGCCTTTATTGCCTTGCGGCGTTGTTTCATTAGAGTTCTCATGTACTCATCATACTAACTCAAGAAAGGGTCAAGAAACTTACAGAATGCGAAACAGCCAACGGCAAAAGAACAGAATTCCAAACGTGTTTATTTTCTTATTCCAGATATATTATATTTTTAAATGCAGTGTTAATATTTTAAAATTGCTTTATCTGTACTTCAACTCCCAAGAACATTAGTAGCCTAACACGACAGTTCGTTAATTTTCTTAGTCACCACAAGTAATGAATTTCATTGGTACCTCAATAAGTAAAGTTTTCTCTCGTTCATTAGCTTTGCGCAGTGGCAGTATCGTAACCAATGAGGTTTATCCGAGGTGTGATTATTGCTAGTTGAAAACTATTACCAATACCCCGCCCTGGTGATGTAATCGCATCACCTGTGGCAATTTCTGAAGGGTTCTGTGGAACCTATACTTTCGCGAGGTGAAGTAACGAAACAATAAATTAGATGTCCATGGTTTGGAAAATTTGTGTAGGCTTCAAAATATACGTTTGGTCAGTTCCGACAACTCATCCTGTCGCAACTTTCAACAGTGCATACACGTCAGATTATTGGCTTTTCGTTTTGCCACATTGCGGCGGTGTTTCGTTAGAGTTCTCTTGTACATATTAACTCAAGAAATTTATAGAACGATCCAAAATTACAAGGAACTTACAGAATGCGAAACAGCCAGCAGCAAGAGAACATAATTCCAAACGTGTTTATTTTTTTTATTCCAGATATATTATATTCTTATTTGCAGTGTTGATGTTTTAAAAATTGCTGTATCTGTACTTCAACTCCCAAGAACATTAGTAGCCTAACACGACAGTTCGTTAATTTTCTTAGTCACCACAAGTATTGAATTTCATTGATACTTTAATAAGTAAAGTTTTCCCTCGTTCATTAGCTTTGCGCAGTGGCAGTATCGTAACCAATGAGGTTTATCCGAGGTGCGATTATTGCTAGTTGAAAACTATTACCAATACCCCGCCCTGGTGATGCAATCGCATCGAATGTGGCAATTTCTGAAGGGTTCTGTGGAACCTATCCTATTGCGAAATGAAATGACAAAACAATAAATTAGATGATGTCTATTGTTTTGAAAAATATGTTGTCCATGTCCATGGTTTGGAAAATTTTTGTAGGCTTTCAAATATATGTTTGGTGAGTTCCGACATTTTATCCCGTCGCAACTTTAAACAGTGCATACACGTCAGATTATTGGCTCCCCGTGTTGCCATCTTGCGGCGGTTTTTCATTAGAATTCTCATGTACTCATCATACTAACTCAGGAAAGTCCCAAGAAACTTACAGAATGCGGGACAGCCAGCGGCAAAAAATCATAATTCCAAACGTGTTTGTTTATTTTCTCATTCCAGATATATTATATTCTTAAACGCAGTGTTATTATTTCAAAAATTGCTTTATCTGTTCTTCCACTTCCAGGAACATTAGTAACCTATCAAGACACTTACGTTAATTTGCTTAGTCACCACAAGTAATAGATTTCAATGGTACATCAATAGGTAAAGTTTAGTCTTATTCGTTAGTTTTGTTCAGTGGCAGTATCGTAACCAATAAGGTTTATCCGAGGTGCGATTATTGCTAGTTGAAAACTATTACCAAAACCCAGCCCTGGTCATGTAATCGCATCGCCTGTAGCAATTTCTGAAAGTTTCTGCGGAACCTGTACTTTTGCAAATTACGTTGATCTCTATTGTTTTGAAAAATATGTTTAATTTTCTGAGTCTATGTCAAACAAATTGCGACAACTTTACGAATTACTGCTGGCAATGCACTCCGCAGTAAGTTATCCCTCCAACAAAATTATGACCGATTCACTGGTTGCCTTTATTGCTTTGCGGCGATGTTTCATTAGAGTTCTCATGTACTCATCATACTAACTCAAGAAAAGGGTCAAGAAACTTACAGAATGCGAAAGAGCTAACGGCAAAAGAACATAATTCCAAACGTGTTTATTTTTTTATCCCAGATATATTATATTCTTAAATGCAGTGTTAATATTTTAAAATTGCTTTATCTGTACTTCAACTCCCAAGAACATTAGTAGCCAAACACGACAGTTCGTTAATTTTCTTAGTCACCACAAGTAATGCATTTCATTGGTACTTTAATAAGTAAAGTTTTCGCTCGTTCATTAGCTTTGCGCAGTGGCAGTATCGTAACCAATAAGGTTTATCCGAGGTGTGATTATTGCTAGTTGAGAACTATTACCAATTGCCCGCCCTGGTGATGTAATCGCATCAAATGTGGCAATTTCTGAAGGGTTCTGTGGAACCTATACTTTCGCGAGGTGAAGTAACAAAACAATAAACTAGATGTCCATGGTTTGGAAAATTTGTGTAGGCTTCAAAATATACGTTTGGTCAGTTCCGACAACTCATCCAGTCGCAACTTTCAACAATGCATACACGTCAGATTATTGGCTTTTCGTTTTGCCACATTGCGGCGGGTTTCCGTTAGAGTTCTCTTGTACATATTAACTCAAGAAATTTATAAAACGATCCAAAATTACAAGGAACTCACAGAATGCGAAACAGCCAGCAGCAAGAGAACATAATTCCAAACGTGTTTATTTTTTTTATTCCAGATATATTATATTCTTAATTGCAGTGTTGATGTTTTAAAAATTGCTGTATCTGTACTTCAACTCCCTAGAACATTAGTAACCTAACAAGACAGTTACGTTAATATTCTTAGTCACCACAAGTAATAGATTTCATTGGTACTTTAATAATTAAAGTTTTCACTCATTCATTAGCTTTGCGCAGTGGCAGTATCGTAACCAATGAGGATTATCCGAGGTGCGATTTTTGCTAGTTGAAAACTATTACCAATACCCCGCCCTGGTGATGCGAACGCATCGCCTGTGGTAATTTCTGAAGGGTTCTGTGGAACCTATACTCTCGCGAAATGAAATGACAAAACAGTAAATTAGATGATGTATGATGTCCATGGTTTAGAAAATTTGTGTAGGCTTTCAAATATATATTTGGTCAGTTCCGACATTTAATCCTGTCGCAACTTTCAACAGTGCATACACGTCAGATTATTGGCTCTCCGTGTTGCCACCTTGCGGCGGTGTTTCATTAGAGTTCTCATGAACATTTTAACTCAAGAAATTTATAGCACGATCCAAAATTTCAGGAAACTTGAAGAATGCGAAACAGCCAGCGGCAAAAAAACATAGGTCCAAAGTGTTAATTTTCTTATTCCAGATATATTATATTCTTAAATGCAGTGTTAATATTTTAAAATTACTTTATCTGTACTTCAACTCCCAAGAACATTAGTAGCCTAACACGACAGTTCGTTAATTTTCTTAGTCACCACAAGTAATGAATTTCATTGGTACTTTAATAAGTAAAGTTTTCTCTCACTCATTAGCTTTGCGCAGTGGCAGTATCGTAACCAATGAGGATTATCCGAGGTGCGATTATTGCTAGTTGAAAACTATTACCAATACCCCGCCCTGGTGATGCAGTCGCATCGCCTGAGGCAATTTCTGAAGGGTTCTGTGGAACCTATACTCTCGCGAAATGAAATGACAAAACAATAAATTAGATGATGTCCATGGTTTAGAAAATTTGTGTAGGCTTTCAAATATATATTTGGTCAGTTCCGACATTTAATCCTGTCGCAACTTTCAACAGTGCATACACGTCAGATTATTGGCTCCCCGTGTTGGCACCTTGCGGCGGTGTTTCATTAGAGTTCTCATGAACATTTTAATTCAAGAAATTTATAGCACGATCCAAAATTTCAGGAAACTTGAATAATGCGAAACAGCCAGCGGCAAAAAAACATAGGTCCAAACGTGTTAATTTTCTTATTCCAGATATATTATATTCTTAAATGCAGTGTTAATATTTTAAAATTACTTTATCTGTACTTCAACTCCCAAGAACATTAGTAGCCTAACACGACAGTTCGTTAATTTTCTTAGTCACCACAAGTATTGAATTTCATTGGTACTTTAATAAGTAAAGTTTTCTCTCATTCATTAGCTTTGCGCAGTGGCAGTATCGTAACCAATGAAGTTTATCCGAGGTGCGATTATTGCTAGTTGAAAACTATTACCAATACCCCTCCCTGGTGATGTAATCGTATCGCCTGTGGCAATTTCTGAAAGTTTCTGCGGAATCTATACTTTTGCAAATTACGTTGATGTCTATTGTTTTGTAAAATATGTTTAATTTTCCGAATCTATGTCAAACAAATTGAGACAACTTTACGAATTACTGCTGACAATGCACTCCGCAGTAAGTTATCCCTCCAACAAAATTATGACCGATTCACTGGCTGCCTTTGTTGCCACCTTGCGGCGTTGTTTCATTAGAGTTCTCCTGTACTCATCATAATAACTCAAGAAAGGGTCAAGAAACTTACAGAATGCAAAACAGCCAACGGCAAAAGAACATAATTCCAAACGTGTTTATTTTCTTATTCCAGATATATTATATTCTTAAATGCAGTGTTAATATTTTAAAATTACTTTATTTGTACTTCAACTCCCAAGAACATTAGTAGCCTAACACGACAGTTCGTTAATTTTCTTAGTCACCACAAGTAATGAATTTCATTGGTACTTTAATAAGTAAAGTTTTCTCTCGTTCATTAGCTTTGCGCAGTGGCAGTATCGCAACCAATGAGGTTTATCCGAGGTGCTATTATTGCTAGTTGAAAACTATTACCAATACCCCGCCCTGGTGATGCAATCGCATCGCCTGTGGCAATTTCCGAAGGGTTCTGTGGAACCTATCCTATTGCGAAATGAAATGACAAAACAATAAATTAGATGATGTCCGTGGTTTGGAAAATTTGTGTAAGCTTTCAAATATATGTTTGGTCAGTTCCGACATTTAATCCTGTAGCAACTTTCAATAGTGCATACACGTCAGATTATTGGCTCCCCGTGTTGCCACCTTGCGGCGGTGTTTCATTAGAGTTCTCTTGAACATTTTAACTCAGAAATTTCTAGCACGATCCAAAATTTCAGGAAACTTGTGGAATGCGAAACAGCCAGCGGCAAAATAACATAATTCCAAACGTGTTTATTTTCGTATTCCAGATATATTATAATCTTAAACGCAGTGTTATTATTTCAAAAATTGCTTTAAATGTTCTTCTACAGTAAAGTTTTCTCTCGTTCATTAGCGTTGCGCATTGGCAGTATCGTAACCAATGAGGTTTATCCGAGGTGTGATTATTGCTAGTTTAAAACTATTACCAATACCCCGCCCTGGTGATACAATCGCATCGCCTGTGGCAATTTCTGAAAGTTTCTGCGGAACCTATACTTTTGCAAATTACGTTGATGTCTATAGTTTTGAAAAATATGCTTAATTTTCCGACTCTATGTCAAACAAATTGCGACAACTTTACGAATTACTACTGGCAATGCACTCAGCAGTAATTTATCCCTCAAACAAAATTATGACCGATCCACTGGCTGCCTTTATTGCCACCTTACCGCGTTGTTTCATTAGAGTTCTCATGTACTTATCATACTAACTCAAGAAAGGGTCAAGAAACTTTCAGAATGCGAAACAGCCAACGGCAAAAGAACATAATTCCAAACGTGTTTATTTTCTTAATCCAGATATATTATATTCTTAAATGCAGTGTTAATATTTTAAAATTGCTTTATCTGTACTTCAACTCCCAAGTACATTAGTAACCTAACACGACAGTTCGTTAATTTTCTTAGTCACCACAAGTAATAGATTTCATTGGTACTTTAATAAGTAAAGTTTTCTCTCGTTCATTAGCTTTGCGCAGTGGCAGTATCGTAACCAATTAGGATTATCCGAGGTGCGATTATTGCTAGTTGAAAACATTTACCAATACCCCGCCCTGGTGATGCATTCGCATCGCCTGTGGCAGTTTTTGGAGGGTTCTGTGGAACCTATACTCTCGCGAAATGAAATGACAAAACAATAAATTAGATGATGTCCATGGTTTAGAAAATTTGTGTAGGCTTTCAAATATATATTTGGTCAGTTCCGACATAAATCCTGTCGCAACTTTCAACAGTGCATACACGTCAGATTATTGGCTCCCCGTGTTGCCACCTTGCGGCGGTGTTTCATTAGAGTTCTCATGAACATTTTAACTCAAGAAATTTATAGCACGATCCAAAATTTCAGGAAACTTGAAGAATGCGAAACAGCCAGCGGCAAAAAAACATAGGTCTAAACGTGTTAATTTTCTTATTCCAGATATATTGTATTCTTAAATGCAGTGTTAATATTTTAAAATTACTTTATCTGTACTTCAACTCCCAAGAACATTAGTAGCCTAACACGACAGTTCTTTAATTTTCTTAGTCACCACAAGTAATGAATTTCATTGGTACTTTAATAAGTAAAGTTTTCTCTCATTCATTAGCTTTGCGCAGTGGCAGTATCGTAACCAATGAGGTTTATCCGAGGTGCGATTATTGCTAGTTGAAAACTATTACCAATACCCCGCCCTGGTGATGTAATCGCATCACCTGTGGCAATTTCTGAAGGGTTCTGTGGAACCTATACTTTCGCGAGATGAAGTTACAGAACAATAAATAAAGTGATGTCCACGGTTTGGAAAATTTGTGTAGGCTTCAAAATATACGTTTGGTCAGTTCCGACAACTCATCCTGTCGCAACTTTCAACAGTGCATACACGTCAGATTATTGGCTTTTCGTTTTGCCACATTTCAACGGTGTTTCGTTGGAGTTTTCTTGTACATATTAACTCAAGAAATTTATAGCACGATCCAAAATTCCAAGGAACTTACAGAATGCGAAACAGCCCGCAGCAAGAGAACATAATTCCAAACGTGTTTATTTTTTTATTCCAGATATATTATATTCTTAAACGCAGTGTTATTATTTCAAAAATTGCTTTATCTGTACTTCAACTCCCAAGAACATTAGTAGCCTAACACGACAGTTCTTTAATTTTCTTAGTCACCACAAGTAATGAATTTCATTGGTACTTTAATAAGTAAAGTTTTCTCTCATTCATTAGCTTTGCGCAGTGGCAGTATCGTAACCAATGAGGATTATCCGAGGTGCGATTATTGCTAGTTGAAAACTATTACCAATACCCCGCCCTGATGATGCAAACGCATCGCCTGTGGCAATTTCTGAAGGGTTCTGTGGAACCTATCCTATTGCGAAATGAAATGACAAAACAATAAATTAGATGATGTCCATGGTTTGGAAAATTTGTGTAGGCTTTCCAATATATGTTTGGTGAGTTCCGTCATTTAATTCCGTCGCAACTTTAAACAGGGCATACTCGTCAGATTATTGGCTCCCCGTGTTGCCATCTTGCGGCGGTGTTTCATTAGAATTCTCATGTACTCATCATACTAACTCAGGAAAGTCCCAAGAAACATACAGAATGCGAAACAGCCAGCGGCAAAAATCATAATTCCAAACGTGTTTGTTTATTTTCTCATTCCAGATATATTATATTCTTAAACGCAGTGTTATTATTTCAAAAATTGCTTTATCTGTTCTTCCACTTCCAGGAACATTAGTAACCTATCAAGACACTTACGTTAATTTGCTTAGTCACCACAAGTAATAGATTTCAATGGTACATCAATAGGTGAAGTTTAGTCTTACTCGTTAGCTTTGTTCAGTGGCAGTATCGTAAGCAATGAGGTTTATCCGAGGTGCGATTATTGCTAGTTGAAAACTATTAACAATACCCCGCCCTGGTCATGTAATCGCATCGCCTGTGGCAATTTCTGAAAGTTTCTGCGGAACCTGTACTTTTGCAAATTACTTTGATCTCTATTTTTTTTGAAAAATATGTTTAATTTTCTGAGTCTATGTCAAACAAATTGCGACAACTTTACGAATTACTGCTGGCAATGCACTCCGCAGTAAGTTATCCCTCCAACAAAATTATGACCGATTCACTGGCTGCCTTTATTGCCTTGCGGCGTTGTTTCATTAGAGTTCTCATGAACATTTTAACTCAAGAAATTTATAGCACGATCCAAAATTTCAGGAAACTTGAAGAATGCGAAACAGCCAGCGGCAAAAATACATAATTCCAAACGTGTTAATTTTCTTATTCCAGATATATTATATTCTTAAATGCAGTGTTAATATTTTAAAATTACTTTATCTGTACTTCAACTCCCAAGAACATTAGTAGCCTAACACGACAGTTCGTTAATTTTATTTGTCACCACAAGTAATAGATTTCATCGGTACTTTAATAAGTAAAGTTTTCTCTCGTTCATTAGCTTTGCGCAGTGGCAGTATCGTAACCGATGAGGTTTATCCGAGGTGCGATTATTGCTAGTTGAAAACTATTACCAATACCCCGCCCTGGTGATGTAATCGCATCGCCTGTGGCAATTTCTGAAGGGTTCTGTGGAACCTATCCTCTCGCGGAATGAAATGACAAAACAATAAATTGGATGATGTCCATGGTTTGGTAAATATGTGTAGGCCTACAAATATATGGCTGATCAGTTCCGACAACTCATCCTGTCGCAACTTTCAACAGTGCATACACGTCAGATTATTGGGTTTTCGCGTTGCCACATTGCGGCGGTGTTTCGTTAGAGTTCTCTTGTACATTTTAACTCAAGAAATTTATAGCACGATCCAGAATTCCAAGGAACTTACAGAATGCGAAACAGCCAACAGCAAGAGAACATAATTCCAAACGTATTTATTTTTTTATTCCAGATATAATCTATTCCTAAATGCAGTGTTATTATTTTAATATATAATTGTTTTATCTGTACTTCCATTCCCAAGAACATTTGTAGCCTAACAAGACAGTTACAAATAGTATTCTTAATCACCACAAGTAATAGTATTTACTGGTATATTAATAAGTAAAGTTTTCTCTCATTAATTAGCTTTGTGCAGTGGCAGTATCGTAACCAATGAGGTTTATCCGAGGTGCGATTATTGCTAGTTGAAAACTATTACCAATACCCCGCCCTGGTGATGCAATCGCATCGCCTGTGGCAATTTCTGAGGGGTTCTGTGGAACCTATACTTTCGTGAGATGAAATTACAAAACAATAAATTAGATGAAGTCCATGGTTTGGTAAATATGTGTAGGCCTATAAATTTATGGCTGATCAGTTCCGACAACTCATCCTGTCGCAACTTTCAACAGTGCATACACGTCAGATTATCGGCTTTTCGCGTTGCCACCTTGCGGGGGTGTTTCGTTAGAGTTCTCTTGTACAATTTAACTCAAGAAGCATAGTACGATCCAAATTCCAAAGAACTTACAGAATGGAAAACAGCCAGCAGCAAGAAAACATAATTCCAAACGTGTTTATTTTTTTATTCCAGATATATTATATTTCTAAATGCAGTATTCTTATTTTAATAATTGCTTTATCTGAACTTCCACTCCAAGGAAAATTAGTTAGCCTAATAACACAGTTACGATAGTATTCTTAGTCAACACAAGTAATAGATTTTATTGGTACCTAATAAGAAAAGTTTTCTCTCATGCATTAGCTTTGAGCAGTGGCAGTATCGTAACCGATGAGGTTTATCCGAGGTGCGATTATTGCTAGTTGAAAACTATTCCCAATACCCCGCCCTGGTGATGCAATCGCATCGCCTGTGGCAATTTCTGAAGGGTTCTGTGGAACCTATCCTCTCGCGAAATTAGAAGACAAAACGATAAATTAGATGATGTCCATGGTTTGGAAAATTTGTGTAGGCTTACAAATATATGGCTGATCAGTTCCGACAACTCATCCTGTCGCAACTTTCAACAGTGCATACACGTCAGATTATTGGGTTTTCGCGTTGCCACATTGCGGCGGTGTTTCGTTAGAGTTCTCTTGTACATTTTAACTCAAGAAATTTATAGCACGATCCAGAATTCCAAGGAACTTACAGAATGCGAAACAGCCAACAGCCAGAGAACATAATTCCAAACGTATTTATTTTTTTTATTCCAGATATAATCTATTCCTAAATGCAGTGTTATTATTTTAATATATAATTGTTTTATCTGTACTTCCATTTCCAAGAACATTAGTAGCCTAACAAGACAGTTACAATAGTATTCTTAATCACCACAAGTAATAGATTTCATTGGTACTTTAATAAGAAAAGTGTTCTCTCATCCATTAGCTTTGCGCAGTGGCAGTATCGTAATCAATGAGGTTTATCCGAGGTGCGATTATTGCAAGTTTAAAACTATTACCAATACCCCGCCCTGGTGATGCAATCGCATCGCCTGTGGCAATTTTTGAAAGTTTCTGCGGTACCTGTACTTTTGCTAATTACATTGATGTTTATTGTTT